TTTTCCTTTTTAGACAGAGTCTCTCTCTGTGTCCAGGTTGGAGTGTAGTGGCATGATCTCGGCTCACTCACCTCCCAGGTTCAAGCAATTGTCCTGCCTCAGCCTCCCACACTACAGGTGTGTGCCACCATACCCAGCTAATTTTTGTATTTTTAGTAGAGACGGGGTTTCACCAAGTTGACCAGGATGGTCTCGATCTCTTGACCTCGTGATCCACCTGCCTGGGCCTCCCACAGTGCTAGGATTATAGGCATTAACCACCATGCCTGGCCCTGTCTCTAGTAAAAATACAACAATTAGCTGGGTGTGGTGGTGCATCCCTGTGATCCCAGCTACTTAGGAAGCTGAGGCAGGAGGATCACTTGAACCTGGGAGGCAGAAGTTGTAGTGAGCCAAGATTATGCCGCTGCACTCCAGCCTGGGCAACAGAGTAAGCAACTCCATCTGATAAATAAATAAATAAATGATGGTAGGCTTCCCAGAGCGTGTTTATGCACCTGTGGGGAAGAAAGATGGATGATATAGGAGAGAGAGGGCTTGCTTGACTCATATAGGAGTGAAATCCATGATAAGGAAACAGGTAGGGTTGTACTTGGAGAGGGACAGGGATGCTTCCACTAATGATAAGGGCAACAAAGGTGAAAACAGATGCAAATTCAGGGGAGAGGGAAGGCAAGTCCTTAATAGTACTGCCTTGGTGGCAATGGGTACTCATCTGAGGTTTGTGATCACAACTTTAAAGGTAAATCAGTTGGTGCAGTGTGTTGGTTTTTCTCCAACGTTCATCTGCTTGTGTAGACATGAAGAAAAGGGATAGTATAGCTCCCAATACCAGGACCCAAGTTTTCTCATTTCTAATCCCAGTTACTTATACCATTAGATACTATTCTAGAAATGTGTGAAGTATTTGAAAAATTTACACGTGACCCTTCTTTTTCTAGAAACCAAGTTATCCCATTTGCCTCTTATGTGCACATTAGGACTCAAGCATAAAGAAAAGGCAAACTTAGAGGAAAATTACCAAACAGATGCCTCTGGAATATTTGCATTTTGCATTATCCTCAGCCCCTCACCACAAATAGCTCCTGTTATACTTAGGAACTTATGTACTAGAAACAACAAAGCTGATGTGCACATAGGGAGACCCTGTCTCTACAAAAAATTTAAAAATTAGCTGAGTGTGGGTGACGCATGACTGTGGTCCCAGCTACTTGGGAGGCTAAGGTGAGAGGATCACTTGAGCCCAGGAGGTTGAGGTTACAGGGACCCACGTTTGTGCTACTGTACTCCAGCCTGGGTGATGAAGCAAGACCCTGTCTCAAAAAAATAAAATAGGGCAGATGCAGTGGCTCACACCTGTAATTAATCCCAGCACTTTGGAAGGCCGAGGCAGGAGGATCACTTGAGCCCAGAAGGTTGAAGCTGCAGTGAGCCCTGATTGTGCCACTGCACTCCAGCCTGGGTGACAGAGCAAGACGTCTCAAAAATAAATAAAAATGTAAAAGCTGACTTGCATTTAAACTTTAGCTTTTCTTTCTAGTAACATTAATAAGCTAATTAGTTCACTTTATCTTAAGATTTTACCTCAAATCATCTTCCTTTTTTTTTTTTTTTTTTTTTTTTTTTTTTTGTGGAGATGAGGTCTTACTATGTTGGCCAGGCTGGTCTCAAACTTCTGGGCTCAAGCAATTCTGTCTTGGCCATCCAAAGTTGGCCATAAGATTATGGGTGTAAGCCACCACACTTGACCCTACCTTCTTTTTGAGAGTAAACTGGCCGGGCGCAGTGGCTCATGCCTGTAATCCCAGCACTTTGGGAGGCCGAGGTGGGTGGATCATGAGGTCAAGAGATGGAGACCATCCTGGCCAACAGGGCGAAACCCCGTCTCTACTAAAAATAGAAAAATTAGCTGAGCATGGTGGTGCACGCCTGTAGTCCCAGCTATTTGGGAGGCTGAGGCAGGAGAATCTCTTGAACCTGGGAGGTGGAAGTTGTGGTAAGACAAGATCACACCACTGCACTCCAGCCTGGGTGACTCTGTCTCCTCCCTCTCAAATTAAAAAAGATCTAACCCTGACCCTCACATGCAGGACCAGAAACCCGATGTGGTTTGTACCCTAAGAGCAGATTTCTTCCTTGGGGACTTGTCAGGTACGTAGGAGCTTGCTTGATAGGCAGAATGCTGTTACCAACTGGCAAGTGGACCAGAGTCCTCATGCTGGCAGAAGGCATATTGATCCCCTATAGGAGAGCATCCTAGGAGGCCAAATTACTAGAAAGATTTGATGAGCAGTTAATTAGATCAAGCAATGTTATTATCTTATGATTCTCAGAACAGTTGTATTTCCGAGATCTTTCTTGGCTCCTATTATTACCGCCTGTAAAGCTTGAAATAATTGTGATCATTTACATGTTTTTTTTTTTTTTTTAAAAAACTCTTTAATCAAGATAATCAACCAATGAAGGGGAGGTGTATTGATTTTCTAAGAAACAATGAGCAGGAATCTTCCTGCACTCTTTGGGGTCCGGCCTATAGTTACATGTGAACACTCCTGTTTTCTCTATACCTACTGAGAACATGTGTGAGACATGATTCAGTTCAGCAAATAATTAT